TTAAAATACGCATAAAAGTAGATGGTAGTACAATGAGTCCCTCTAACCACGATTCGGCTTGTTTCATCCATATCCCCCTGCTTGTTTCATCTGTACCCTCCTTGTTTTCCCCAGTGTTATTTTGAAATGTATCTCACATCATATCATTTCATCCATAAAAATTGCATTAAGTATCTTTTTTTTACAAATTGCTAGTTTGAATTAGGACCCAAATAAAGACTATCTGTTATAATTTTAAATCTTAAACTAGTAAATTCTTCCTCTCCCCCACCCCATCCCCTGCCCTTGTGATGTATTTATTGAAGAAACCAGGTTGTTTTGTAGAGTTTACCCAAGTCTGGATTTTGCTAATTATGCCATAACACAGTTCAACACTTTCTTCTCCTCTGTATATTTCCTGTAAATTGGTGATGAGAGCTAAAGGCTTGATCAAATTAGGTTCAGTTGTTCTTGGCAAGATAATTTCATAGGTTAGTTATTTTTCCATCGAAGGGGATATAATGGCTGGCTGACTCTTGTTAGCAGCTGCTATTGATGCCAATGGTCAGCTCTCTCACTTTATTAGGGGTTGCAAAATGTTAATATTTTAATTCTATAATTTCTTCATGTATTAGCTAGAATACTTCTATAAAAAGAAACTAATCTACTATTTAGTTGCCCAATAGGCAAATAAATGCTTAATCTTTCCCTTAATTTGCCAGTTTCCAAAATAATGAGTTGGTTCTGTAGCACTCTTTGACAGTGACCAACAGAGCATACATTTAAAATTTTATAGTAAGAGTGTAGCCAGTCCACATATAAACTGTCAATAAGATGAATAGGTCTCATAGGGCTTTCAAATATTTGGATCAGTGTTTCCTAAACTTACTTGGCCACAGAGGCTTTTAAAATGTATGCTGCAGGACGGCCCTGGTGACTCAGTGGACCTATGAACCAGGAGGTCATGGTTTGATTCCCGGTCAGGGCACATGCCCTGATTCCAGGCTTGATCCCCAGTAGGGAGTGCGCAGGAAGCTCTTTTATCATTGATGTTTCTATCTAGTTCTTCCTCTCTGAAATCAATAAAAACATTTAAAAAAGTTAAAATGTATGCTGTATTTTCCAGAGGAGCATAGAACACAGACTTAAATAATTCCACCTATATCTCCCCATTTCTCCTTTGCCCTCTTCCTATCCCAACCCCGCATTTTTCCTCTTTATTCTCTTCTCATGTACTTATCCTGCTTCCCCACCCCCACCACTCTTTTCAGCCGTTTTCTCTAGAAAGGATCAAAAGCTAACCAGCCTATCTTGAAATGATCTTAGTTCCATCCTCATTGAGTTCTAATTATCTTTGCCCAGAATTTAAGTTGATATCCTGTTGAAAGTATTTTCTTGTGACATTATTAAAACTTGACCCCCAGATCATGATTTCTCTTTGAGGTTATGATTTTCTCATTTTAAAGATAGGATTGCAGTTTGTTTAGGATTGTAAAGGAATTGTTCTTATTGATACTTATATTAAACTAGAGTTCCAGTGCACGAATTCGTGCATGGGTGGGGTCCCTTGGCCTGGCCGGCGATTGAGGCCTATCGGGGGGCTGGCCGGCTGGGGGGAGGGGCCGTGGATGGTTGGCTGGCTGGTCCCACCCCCAGTTGGGGTGGGGGGCCTT